AAGAGAAAATTTTAATTGGAATAAGCAGTACGTACTATAATTTAAAATATTTCACGAAAATAATCGTTTTCTAAAATAGTCTTCATTTAAAGAACTCATACTTATCTGAAGACTTTTTTTTAAATCGATACATATTATACTGAAAGTAATCGATACATCGAAAAAAATATCGTACCATTCAGTATGAAACACCGTTACTATAATACCAGAACTTACGAACGAAAATTAACATAGAAAACATTGTTTTAACATTTTTTTGGCAAACATTTACAGTATGGTACAACAGTATATACAATATATACACATTTTTTAGGTTATCGGGCTACATTTGATTTGGATATATACACTAAGAAAAAACTTACATATTCACAAATAAAATTAAAAATTATAATGTATTAACAAATTCATTTTTTATGAGATAGATTACTTCAACAACAAAAAAACGTAATGTACATAATACACACAAATATTCCGGTGTTTATTAATCCATATATGTCGAAAGGAAAACGATCAAAAGTGGTCAGTGTGTTAAAATACTATTTGTAGTTATCAATGAGATCATCAAAAATCACTTTACTATGTATAAAAAGAGATATATTCAAATAAATGTGAAATCCGGATAGTGATGAAGTAAAAAAAAATAAATGTTAAATAATTTTTTGAAAATAAGCAGATAAAATCATAGTAGAAACAATGAATAAATAAAGGAACCAAAAAATTTTACGATGAAGAACCAATTGTTTTCTTTTTTAGAAAACCCTACACCTGTTTGGGCACACAGGAGAATGGAGAAAAATTAATAATAGTATGAAAGGTCATTGAAAACAAAAATAAATAAAACATTAGAAATGTTGGAGCAGTGAAATAAGAAAAAAAAGTCAAATATCCAAAACGAGAATTAAAAAAATAAAACTACAAAATAGAATAAAAAAACTATTGAAATAAAAATAATGAGCCTAGATGATTTTCAAACAGCTTACATATTTTATATGCCAGTATCTTCCAGCTAGAATAAGAAATAATAATTGACACAATGAAAGAAGGATTTCACGTTGAAATTAAAAAACAAAAGAGAGGCCTCACCAACATTTAAATATCACAACGTGGTAATTTCTACTGACAACATTTGAATGTTCCTCTCACGGCACATAATTAAACTAGCTTGATTCTTTTTTCTCAGTGTACTGCATCATCACCATCGGTATTTTTACGTTTACATGCAATGAAAGGTACACACAAAGGATAACCGTAGAATTCGTGAAAATCGCCGATAATGAATATTTTTCTGCCAAGGGTTACATTTAAGTGAAAAAATCTAGAAAATTCTAACAACAAATAGATCTTTACAGGGAAAGAATACTAAACAACGAGAAAATTTAAGAGATTTCTCAGTCGATTTTGAATAGTTTCACATAGCAGTTGAAATCTTTCTCAACAGAACATTAGGCAACTATATAACAAAGGCTATTTTCAGTTTTTCTATGTTGCATTTTTGTATTTTTCAAAAATCAATTTTATAACTCCTAGAGAGTTTATATCTGGTGAGGTTTTCAGCATACACATACAAATAGACACCGCTACAATACAGACCCATTCCCCCAGTGCGACAAAGAAAATTAACGCATAGCAACCCCTGCATCTCTTTCTAATGAGCAGGGATTTATTGCCCACGTTACCTTCCCAGTCCAAACACAAGTAAAGGGAAGGTCACGTGGTCGTTAGACCTGACCCATTAGGGGAAACGGACTGCACTGTCTCAACATTGCAGCACTGTCTATTTGTATTATATGTCTATGATTTTCAGTTAATGAAACCTGACCTCTATTTGTTGTAATGACTTTATGTAGATACTTTATTGTACTTTCGGTCGTCAAATTGTTAAATCTGTGTAATTTCTCGAAATTGGGCTACCTAAATTGCCAACAAAACTTTTTGACATATTCGTATCTCGAAATGTTGTTAAGGTCATGTGATTGAAAAGAATTAACTAGTTAAAAACATATCTCTTAGATGTCTATTGAAACAAAATTCATGCAGCGAATCATATTAAGTTTGAAATTCTCGTCATACCTATAGGTTCAAGATACGACTGAAAAACAGGTGAAAAAGCATCTCGAACGTATTTCTAACTCCAGACGTTTTACCGAAATTAATAAGGTACGGAACGGAGTCAACCCTGGACAATCTTCAGTTTACTTTTATAAAAAAATATAAAAAACCAGCCAGTGTTTTATAGTTGCTGTTCTATAAAGCAAAAATTTGTATTATTTCCCCAAGTTAACTTCAGTTATGTTACTAACAACGTAGACAGATACTTCCTACTCTGAGTCTACATCAGAATCAACTGCACATCTTAATTAAAAATCTCTACTAATAAAGGTAACACATTTCATCAAACGTTTGAGAGACAATTTTAAACAAACGCATACATAATATCCTCTTTGGATATGAGAAATTTTAATACATGTAAGTATCAGGGAGGAGTGTTTGTTACATTATTATTTATAGTATGAGTACTATCAGAATATTATTTGGTGTCTTTTTTTTAAGTTACTCATTGCAATATTTTTCTGAATGCATTTCTTGATTCTCAAATTATAAATCGTAAATAGTTTTATAGAAATGATATATTTCTGACGAGGGTTGCCGAACATAACTTAGTAGGTAGATCCAGTTCAAATTTTAAATTTAAAGTATCTAGGCATGTATACAGCCACGTTTCCAGGTACTTGTATTCCAAATTACCTAGGTCTGGTGACTTTCCTAGATACTTCCAACCTAATATTCATATACATTGGATTTCAACGAAGCTAGGAACTTTTGAGATTCTTAGGTATGTTGAAATTCAAAAGTCTGTTGAATTTAAAAACGATCTTTGCTTGATTCCTATATGCTTCCCTAATTACATTTCTCCATAAATTTGTATCTTGGGTCATATCAATATTAATCCTCTTAACGGACATGTCCTGCTTAAGCCCCTCCTCCGAGGTCTACTTTGGTTTTCCTCCCCTGCTCCTTCCAGGAAGCCGCAGATCAACAATTCTTCGTCTGACATTTGTCCTACTTCCATAATGGACAGCCGGAGTGTTACGTCACGGCGGCCATATTGTTATTATTACTTTCCAAACAAAAGTTGAAATGCCGAATCTCAAGACTTTTTAATTTCTATAAAGTTAACATTTTGCTTCCTCTGTGGCTTTTTCTTTTAAGTATTGTGTTTTTTACGATAATACCATCATAATTCAGTGTTCTATTTCTATGAATTATATTTTTAAAGTTTAAATTAAAGAAATTCTAACCTTACTTTATTGGTACATGCATTTGATTGCTATTTTTATAAAACAACATGCTTTATTATTTACATAACATTGTAAAATTGTTGTAGTAACTATTAGAATACTTAGATATCGTAAAAAGCGGAAAAATTCTGTAAACAATGAAAAAATAACGAAGAATACAAATTATCCACACTAAACAAGGTTTGCTTGGAAAGTGAAACTGACAGATGTCAATAAAATCTACGTCATTACTCCGGCAGTTCATTGTATTCAATATATCTGTTAGAAACAACATTTTTCCTACTATTTTTGCCCTGAACAGGCCTTTTTTCATCTTTTAACACCCACCACTTGATTTCTTGTGGTTCTCTCCGATATTTTGGTTTAGTTTCGCTTTTTACTTCGATGTTCAGCATCAACTTAGGTTGTTGGTTTACATCTCACTATTATTTTGCAGTCCTTACAATCAAGTATATCTTCGTTTCTTGTCTTCAAATACTCTATTGAGAGTGAATAAGTTGAGTTTCTCTTTTAAAAGAATGTGTTAACAATTGACATATCTAATACTGTCGCTAATTCAAGCAGAACAACTTATTAAACCGAAAAAAAAAAGCACAAACAGTGTTGGCTTTGGCACTCGCTCACCTTCAGGGACTAACTCTATGGGAATTTTATGACCATTTCAAGTCTTCGGTTAATAGAAATATATGTGTGGAAGACCTTAAAGCAGATATATGAAACATAGGCGTAGAAATATCTAAAAGAACATAATGAAAGGAGTAACAATTGATTTCAGTGATGAAAAATAATTTCTAAATGGGTTTAAAAGACATCTAGTCATCAAACACAAAAGAATTTATAGAATGTCTATTTTCTCTTCAGAGTTTTCTTGTATTCTGCAAATATTGTCATTCGTGTAGTATTTACAAATCATAGTTTTCAGTTTCAGTACTAAAATAGAAAATATATAGCAATGGTAACTTAAAAAAGAAGATATTTAGGATACAGTTACTTATTCAGTACTTTAAGGAATATTTTACAACCATCTGCCTATTATTAAAGTAGAAGGTGTTCTTTTTATCTGCTCGCTAGTCAGAAGTTCCTTAAATATGAACTAAATGATATACTATAATAATTAATATATAGGCTAGTAATTAAGTCAAAACAGTAGATATGTTTTACTGGAGAGTTTTATCTTCCAAGAAAGTAGATACCAGATAAGGATTTGTCTATAACGGCAAATCAACTCCCCTTCTAATCGGTACTTTAGTGCAACTAAGCATATTGGATCCTATCCGATGAATACAAAAATATTTTGTAATTAACTAAATAATCTTTACTTTCACACATCATGTATATTGGCTGATAACTTATCCGGACGATTTTGATCATCCCGAATGGGTGCCGACCTACCGCTTAAATATATCTATGACGTCCACAATATTTACCGTATTTCCTAGAAAAATACGGTAAATGATAAAAATAAGTTCGGCGACAAGAAGTGAGGAACTAAATTCACTGTTCTTGGATTAAATATGACAATAATTATGAAAAACATATAACAAATTGTCTGAAAAAATGCATACTCTCAAAGAATCTGATATTTACATTGCTGGAACATTTAAAGTAATGAAGAGTCTATAATTTTTTTTATAAATTGGGGAAAGAATCTTTTGTTAATTTAATTCAAAAGTATTTTGAGCAGATAAAATGAATCATTCGGCAATTTACAATCTATAAGCGTATTATGTTAAATGGTTTGGTCTTGAATTTATTACATCTTACAGCTCCTTTGTTCACACTACAAAATAATAATTACGGAAACATTTCAATGGCTAATAATAAGACACTGAATATTATTGCTATGAAACGAATGCAAAATATTCCTTAAAGTTGTCCTAACTCTACGGCATTGCATTGAATGATCGCATTACAAGACCGAATGATCATTCAAAACACGCTGTGTTATTGGAATGACCTTTGTGAAATTAAACAAAAACATTCTTATTGTACAATCTAATAACGAGTGCACGAATTTCTTATTTGTACTGATCTGATGGACCAATCAGAAGAACATTTCAAAAAATTTCGCACGCATTTTCTAAGACGATCTCCAGTTTTATTCTAGAAGGAATATATAAATGGTACAGTCGTAATCCATATTTAACAAATATAAACAACATTCTTGTATGTGTTAAGACAATTATTACAAAAATATTCGAATAATGTAAATGACATAAATCAAAACTTGAGCCGCCAAAAAGTTATAATTAGGCTAAATTAAAAATGGTAACAGAAAGGTTATCATTGTTTTCCACTGATTTTTGTTGTCCTTCGTTCAATTCTTACGAGCGACCAATTCGTCAAAACTGTACAATTTATAAAAATACTCATTTAAGAACAGAGCTAAAGATCGATTTATATTCCACCTATCAATCTAGGCTAGATTTCAGAGGCAATTTTAAGTGCAGGTAAACAGGTAAAGTAATTATTACACTTGTCCACAAGCGAACAGTTGTAAAAAGTGAATAATCAACTTATCTTAATTTTTTATATTAAGATATATTTTTGATAGATCTGATAAAAGATAGTGCTCTCAGATTCTAATGGCCGATTTCACCATCGATACCTAAATATTTAAGAATTACCTAAGTGGGTTTAGGTAGAGATAGTGCAAACACTCATGACAACGGCGCAGTAGACGAAATTTGGTTTAGTCCCCACTTCCATGCGAAACGCACTGTATATGCAACGAGAATGGTAGAACGTTTCAGTTTTGTTAGCATAATTCCACGTACAATAGAACCTTTCTGCCTTTATGTGAATTTTGACTCCGCCTTCGCGCAGCTCCATGGTCATGAGTGTTTGTACTATCTCTACTTCCTAACTCTAAAACTGATTTCACCATACGCTAAGAATTGCTTAAACCGCTTAAGCGTTTCCTTATCGTAGGATACGTTTTGCGATCTCCCTAAGCATTTTAGGTATTAATTATAGTTGAAAGTGAGGTTATGTTTTTTGACGAATGTACTTGTGAAGTTTGTCAATAACTTGCTTCTTACCTTAATTTGTCTGTTGTTATTCTGTAGTTAATTGTTAGTGGTAGTGTATTATTTTATATTATTAAGTGTTGCTTTGGTACTATTCATAACCATTTAAATCCAGGTAAAGCAATAAATAATTTTGACAATAGGCATGTTATTTACATCTTATAACTATAGGTTGAGATGATGCAGAGCTGTTTAGAAACAGAAAATGTGCAAACAGTATATTCGCCAGATTTAAAAATAAGTATCATTATAGGTCACTGGCGTGCGTTAACCCATGAATCTGTTATATTTTTTTCAAAAAAGCAGATTATGTTTTCATTTTCAAACTGGGATATATGGCAATGTCATTTTGTTAGGAGATAGTGGATATCCACTAAGTAAATCAATGTTTACTACTGAATATGTCTGAATAATATATAAGTAATAAATTCAATATTTAGGAATGAAGTGCAAGAAGTATTCTTTTTAATCGTAGCCACATTCGTACAAGAAATATTGTTGAAAGACAATATGGAGTATTAAAACAGCGGTTTCCTGTACTTAGTGTAGGATTAAGATTAAACTTAGAAACAGCTACAAAATGTAATAATAGCATGTGCTAATTTACACAATATTTTCATTGAAGCAATAATTCTAACATCGAAAGTTAATACTAAAGAGAAAAAATTATATAGTCTACCTAACAAACTAGTGTTTTCTTTCAAAAACCCATTCACGATTTCGTCAAAAAAGTGGTCATTAAAAATAACAGTGAGGTTATGACATCTTATTCTTCTTTTTATTTATCAACAATAGTTCAAATGTATCCGGGCTAATACCTAAGAAAGCATTTTCTAGGTACGCAGTTCTTTTAGTTGTGAAACGTGATTGTTTCAAAGTATTTACTTAGGAGATTCTTTTCGATATATAGGTATCGTTGGTGAAATCGGGCATAAGAGGTTGTTGAATATGTGATATTAATATCTAAGACGGCGCTTACAAATAAATATTTACGGCATAAAGATAATAATAACAATTCCATTAATTCCGGTCTTCAGCATCTTGATTTCAGTTTAGAAAGATAAATATAAAGAAGACTAAATGTAAGAGAAGAAATATGAATACGAGTAACAAAAAATCGGAAAATGGATGGCATAAGTAACCGAAGCAATGTAACAGCTAAATCAGGACATAGACATATGCTTCTGGTGGTGTTAAGTTCTTCTTCTGTTGCTTCTTCTTTTAAGTATTGTGTTTTTTACGATAATACCATCATAATTCAGTGTTCTATTTCTATGAATTATAGTTTCAAAGTTTAAATTAAAGGAATTCTAACCTCACTTTATTGATACATGCATTTGATTGCTATTTTTATAAAACAACATGCTTTATTATTTACATAACATTGTAAAATTGTTGTAGTAACTATTAGAATACTTAGATATCGTAAAAAGCGGAAAAATTCTGTAAACAATGAAAAAATAACGAAGAATACAAATTATCCACACTAAACAAGGTTTGCTTGGAAAGTGAAACTGACAGATGTCAATAAAATCTACGTCATTACGTCTTCAGCATCTTGATTTCAGTTTAGAAAGATAAATATAAAGAAGACTAAATGTAAGAGAAGAAATATGAATACGAGTAACAAAAAATCGGAAAATGGATGGCATAAGTAACCGAAGCAATGTAACAGCTAAATCAGGACATAGACATATGCTTCTGGTGGTGTTAAGTTCTTCTTCTGATGGTGTTGATAATGTTTTACCTTTTTTATTCGGACGCCGTTTGTTATTATAATTAGTTTCAACTAGAAATTTCTGGTGGATGATGGACCTTAGTCTACAAGGAAGGCAACGGTCCTGTGCAGTTTTTTTTTTAGATTTTAGATATTTTATTCCTACTGAAACATTTGCATATTTACAACAACACTTGGTTATTTTCTTGTTTTTACTTTTGATCGAACACAAATAAGTAGTAGCCACTAATCCCACTATTTCGAGCAACCAGACCATTACCTTAATTGAAAACTAGAAAAAACTAATAGTATACCGAAACAAGAGGAAATTGTCTATTTCCTGCCTTAAATCTGAATCAACCTACACTTTTACCAGATCTTCACCATAATTTCTCAATAAAGATGTATTAAATATATAAAGACCCGTTTCCATAACAATTCGGAAACTATGAGAATTGTGACTAGCCTTTTTGCAACCGTCTAACAACGTCTTTTTGCAACCGTTTAAAATACATTTAAGCCCTCCATAATTTTTCGAAATTTTTTCATCTATGGCCAAGCGAAGCAACCTGATGATAAGCGTAATATTTTGCAGTTTTTTTTTTCTTTTAAAAATATCTTTTTTACAATTCCTTAAGTGGTGGTCGTAGTCGGGTACTGGAACATGGTGCCACACGCCAGCCCTGCAGATCTCACTGTTGGTCGAGGAGGCAGCTGAGGAGTCACTTGGCCAGAATTTACCTCCACGGTATATCTGGGAGAAATACTGGGTGGTTGGGTTGCTGGTGGTAAACTATAACAATAAAACATTAGTAAATCGATATCAATAACTTTTATTGGCTATAAAATTAGGTCAGAAGGAAGTTAACAATCTGTGCAATGTGGAGAGTCGGTTAAAAATTTAAAGAACTCTTATTACGATGAATAATTAATCAGCGAAGAAAATATCGAATTATTTGTCCTTTTATTCAATCGCATTTATGATACAGGTAAAATACCCCAAGATTGGCTTGAGTCAATATTCATCCCACTACCAAAAAAGCCAAACCCACAACACTGCAATGAGTTCCGTCTGATAAGCCTTATGAGTCATGCAGTAAAAGTCCTACTAAAAATCGTACATAATCGTATCTATAGAAAGTGCGAAACAATCATCGGAGACGATCAGTTTGGATTCAGAGCCGGCATGGGAACGAGAGAAGCCCTGTTTAGTTTACTAGTTCTCGCCCAAAAATGCTACGACCAACAGAAAGATATATTTATATGCTTAATAGACTTCGAAAAAGACACGATCTACTATTAGAACGTTTGCAAGAAGTCGGTTTAGATGGAAAAGACATCATATTCTTAAAAAACTTGTACTGGAACAAAAACGCCAGAGTTAGGATCGAAGGTTCCACATCCGCAGAAGTAGAAATTATTAGGGGAGTTAGACAAGGATGTGTTCTGTCGCCTCTGCTGTTTAATCTTTACTCCGAATTTCTATTTAAAGAAGCATTGGAGGATTCCAAGGATGGAGTCAAGGTGAATGGCGTAAATATCAACAGTATCAGATACGCCGATGATACAGTGTTAATTGCGGATTCCGACTCAGGTCTCGAATAAAACTCGAAATTCGACTACGTTTATCAAAATGCTACGTCTGGTCGACTCTTCTATATGCAGTTGAAACGTGGACCCTTAAAACATCAACCGTAAATAAATTGGAGGCCTTTGAAATGTGGATCTACCGGAGAATACTCAAAATTTCATGGACATCGCATACCTCAAACGAAGAAGTGCTGCATAGAATAGGCAAGGAAAGAGAACTTTTTAACACAGTAAAAGTTAGAAAAACATCATACCTAGGCCACATACTGAGAAATAATAAGTACCAATATGCCCAACTTATAGTGAAAAAAAATCGAGGAAAAGACTATCGTGGCTCAGAAACATCCGACAATGGACAGGGCTAAATTTTGAACAGCTAATGAGAACAGCCGAATATAGAGAAGAGTTTAAAATTGTAGTAGCCAACCTACATTGAGGAGAGGGCACTTTAAGAAGAAGAAGAAGTACGATGAATAATATCATGATATCTAAAAACAATCTTAATTAGAGAAGACTGTGCAATAAAAACTTCATAGCTTGGACTGTTAATCACGACTGACCATACAACACAATGGCAATCACTGTGCCATATTACACGTTTCCACCTCTATATTCATTTCACAGTAAGTACGAATTGTCATAATTGTCACATTGACATTAAAAATTTCAAACGAAGTTGTGAAAGAATAAACAAATAATTAATCAAATGCCTATTACGTTGTGTATACCGTCTAAGAAAAAGTGCACCAACATGGTACTTTCAGGGTCATTCGATACGCGAAGTAATTGATTTATTTATTGTTGCCTTCGAAAATAGACCCCCACCAAGTGTTACAACAGTTAAAAATACCATTAAACATTTTCAAACTTCGAGATGTGTAAACAATTGTAAAAAGTGTCATGAGGGTAATGAACCACGTGTTAGATCTGTCGATGAGGAGCGTCAAAACAGGGATATTGATATTTGTGCTTTTGTGGAAGATAGTGAACCCTGCAATAGTGTACAAATTGCTAGGGAAGTTAACGTGAATGCTCGAACTGTTGAGCGAGTTCTCAAAAGGAATGGGTATCACTGTTTTAAGATACAACCAACACAAGAACTGTTTCCAGAAGGTAACTTTGGGCGGATGGAGTTTTGTAAATTTGTGTTAGATAAACAGAATGAAAATGTACACTTTTTAAAAAATATTTTATATTCTGTCGAATCTTCATTTTCATTACACAAAACAATATCCATCCGTTGCAAGGTATTATTCTCGGAAAAATAAGCACCTCAGTGTTGCAGTGCGAACTCAGCATCCGCAAATGTTTTTACTGGGATGTTAGGCGACCATATTGCCGGTCCATTTTTGATCGATGAAAACCTAAACGGGCCCAAATATTTACAACTTTTACAGAATGAGATCGTTCCGGCAATTCGACGCCTTCCCGTTAATTTTCAGGAGGTTTATTTCCAACAGGATGGGTGTTGGACTCACAACTCTAGAACAACTATTGACTTCCTCAATCAAACGTTTCTTGATCAACTAATAAGTACACGTGGTACAATTAAATGGCCCGCTAGATCCTGTGACTTAGCCCCTAACGATTTTTTTTAGAGTTTTCTCAAAGAAAACATTTGTAGGCATCAGTTGAAAATGGCCACAAACCTAGTCGAATTAAGGGCAAAAATACTTCATTTCTCTGCAAGCATTACACCAGCCCTACTCCAAAATATGAGGAGAAATCTGTATGACAGATTTTTACTGCTTAGCACAAGGAGATGGAATATTTGAGCCCTTAATTCATTAATCTGCTTTCCTAATTTTTATTTTTTGTTAGATACATTTTACGAAGTTTGTAGGTTCTTAATTAGGTAGTATTTTTTTATGTTTATGTTTGGAAGAATTTTATTGTTTTTTTTTTATTTAAAAGTACAAACGATTCTTATTCTGATTTTTTTCTTCTTTCTTGACTTATTGCTATAAGCGTTTCCCATAAAATTTGTACAATATTCAGTGGCAATAAAGCATATTACTTATTTACTTACTTATTTATTTGTATTGCTATTAAGGCTAAAAAATAACCAAAAAAATTAGTTTTAGAGCATTATAATAAATATACTCTAGAGATGGGATTGCAATAGATCTTAATTCCTATGGTCAACAAAACAATGTCGTTATCTGTATAAGACTACAAACCTTCTTATTACTTTATAAATAGGCTTAATGCCTGTTTTACTTCGGTTTTTAGCTTCAATTGACGTTGTCTGACCATCTTTTCCTCGGTCGTCCCAATGATCTTCTTCCATTTGGCGATTTGTCTCTTGCTATTCGTACTATTCTAATTTGTGTTATTCTTTCGATGTGTTGATTCCATTCCACTTTTCTTCTTTTGGTCGATGAGTTTATTTCCTCTATACCACATCTCGCTGGTATTTCCAAACTTCTTACTCTGTCTCTTAGAGTTTGGTTTGTTATTTTTCGTAAGACTTTAATTTCTGTTGTTTCCAGCAGTCTTTGTGTTTTCGCTGTGTACGTCATTATCGGTCTTATTGTTGGTTTATATATCCTGGTTTTCGTTTCCGTTGTGAGGTATTTGTTTCTCCAGATTGTGTTGTTGAGACATCCTGTTGCTCTGTTTGCCATGTTCACTTGTTTTTGTACTTCTTCTTCCACTTTTCCGTAGCTTGACAGTTTTATTCCCAAGTATTCAGTTTATCACTTGTTCTATTATTTTGTTATTTAAGATTAGTTTACATCGCCTCGGTTCCGCTGATGTCACTATCGCTTTAGTTTTCTCTGTTGAGATCACCATATTGTATATGAGCGCCGTATCTTCTAATTCTTTAATTAATCTTTGTAAAAGGTCATCTTCATTTTCGGCTGGTATTATGGCGTCGTCGGCGTAGCATATTATCCTTATTCCTTTTTCTCCCATTCTATATCCTCTTCTTTTTTTAACTTTCTTTATGATTTCGTCCATTATCAGATTAAATATTAATGGGCTCAGCGAATCTCCTTGTCTAATATCAGTTTCATATTTGATAGGTTGCGATAGCTTTCCTTTACATCTTACCATAGCTATGTTATCTTTATATATATTCTCAATGGTTTTTACTAAATCCAGTGATATTTTCATTTCATATAATAAATGTATCCCGAATTCTCACTCTATCAAACGTTTTCTTCAAATCTATCAGACACATATATGCTGGTTTGTTGTATTCCAGCGACTTTTCTTTTATTTGTCTTATTACAAAAACCGCATCCGTGCATGATCTTCTTGTCCGAAATTCCTGCTGTTCCTCTTGCAGAGATATTCGTTCGTTAATTTTTGTCGCTATTAATCTTGTTGTCAATTTGAGTGTTGTATTTAAAAGATTTATTGCTCGATAATTATTGGGGTCTTTCTGATTTCCTTTTTTGAAGAACATCGCCATGATCGCTCTCCTCCATTCAACTGGTATTCTGTTCATGGTGATTATTTTATTAATAAGAAGTTGTAGTTGTTGTACAAGGTAATCACCTCCATATTTTAATAATTCATTTGCTATTTGATCTTCTCCTGGCGACTTTCTGTTTTTTAATTTGTTTATTCCTTTTTTCACATCGTTTTGGGTGATTTCGGTCTTTTCCTCAGTTATTATATTTGGCGTTTCTGGTAAAGGTTCTTCGTTTTGTTTTTAAACATTTCTGTCAGGAAGGCCACCCATGTATGCTCTTTAGTTTTTTCATTTCGCTCCTTTGTTGTGCTATGAAGCGCCATACTCGTTTCTGTTGTCCATAGAAATCCATTTCTAGTCCTTTTGTGAATCTTTCCCGGTATTCTATTTTTGTTTTTCTTACCAATTGATGAGTTTCAGTTCTTATTCTTTTATATTCTTCATATGATTCATTCGTTTTTTCTAACTTATATTTTAGGAAAGCTTCCATTTTTGGTGACATGTTTGTTTAACCTCTAGTGTAAACAATGGTGTTTTCGTTGACCACTTTTTGTTTATTATTTTCGTTCCAAGGGCTTCTCGGGCAGCATCCAGAATATTTGTCTTAAATTTTCTCCAGCTAGTCTCTACATTGCTTTCATTTTCGATATTCTCCATTTGTATTATTCTAGCCTTTTTTGATATAATGATCTTATGGAGTCATCTCTTAAATTTTCTATTTTTATTATTTCCTCTGAATTGGTTTGTTTACGCTTCTCTTTCCATCTTTCATTGAATCTAATTTTACCAAGTACCAAATAGTGATCGCTTCCCACATTGGGTGACGTCAAACTTCTCACACCCACTATCTATTTATGGTGAATATTTCTGTTTGTGACCACATAATCTATCATTGACAGATGATCTGAAAAGGACTGCCGGGAAAAATTGGCTACAAGTAGCGTACAATAAAAACCAATGGAAAGGAAGACTTGAAGAGGCTTATGTTCAGATGTGGACGTGAATGGCTAGACGAAGAAGAAGAAGAATCTATCATTGATCTATGTCCTCTTGTATTTTCAAACGTGTATTTGTGTTAAATCTGTGTTGTTATCTATATAACCTAATATTTAGTTGATTAGCCCCTGCAGCCAGAAACGAAGTATTAAGTCTAGTTTTTTTTTAATTTGTAGTGTAAGGTTATCTTAGCCTCATTAGTCAGGTATGATATATAAATATAGACATAATACAAGATAGACTGATGTTGCAACACCAGCCCTTTCCCACAAGATGGCCCATTAGACAGAGATACAGGGACTGTTTTGCGACAGTTTTCTCTGTCACACTGGGAGAACGTCACTGTATTACAGCAGTCAGTCTATCTTGTATTATATGTCTATAATAATAATAGAATACAAATTGTTGACAATTATATTATTTTGTATAAATGGGGCGGGCAGCCACCATATCCAAATTTCATCCGAGATATGGTTGTTATGGAACCTCTCGGACAATCATAATTGACAAACGAGCAGTTTTTTGGATGTCTGGTTCTAGCAAAGTGTATGTTGCGCATTTTGTCAAACAGAAATATCTGTATTGTTTAAACCATTTCTGATATAAATTATCCTTAGCTATATTTATTCTCTCATCCAATGTTAATAAGGGTGTAACATCTCCCAACTGTGTGCCTTCTTTAGTTTCTTGGTCAACTTGTTCATTGTATGTGATACCTGAGTGTGCTTTTAGCCAAACAAAAATCGCTTTTTTAGTTTCTTGCATTTCAGCGAGTAACGTTTTTACTTTGGGTATATAAGAATGGATATATGCGGAGTTGATTTGTAAATGTTATTGTAGACTATTTAAAACTGATCGGAAATCAGAAAAAAATATGGAATATATACTACTGTTCTCTATGATAAACTCTATAGCTTCCATAATGGCAAAAGCTTCTGTTGTAAAAAGGGATGCTTTTTACTAAATTTAAATGTGCGTTGTACTTGCTGTGGGACAATAAAAGCAGTACAGGTGCCATAAGAATCTTTTATACATTGGTGTAAAAAGCCATATACATTTTGTATTTTTTAGAAAAGAGTATCCAGTATCTGCTAACACACATATGCCCGAAGTATTCAAATGTATGCCGTAAGCCAATATGGATGACATAAATATAGTAAGAATATATTTATAATAACGATAGTAATATTAAGATCATTTTAAAACATATAAGGAGATATTTGAAGACTAAAATTCATCCTAAATACCAGACCAAATCCACATCGAAACTGAAAATATCCCAATTAAACGGGACCTACTTAGACTTTATGAGTTCATATGATTCAGGCACTCTCACACCCAACTACTGAACTCCCCTTACTCTGGTTTTGTTAGGTTCAAGTAAATATTCTCTAATACTCTACTCTCACAGTTAAGTAACAATCAAAACTCACCTGGTCCCGTTATGTGTGCTAGGATGCTGCTGTGGGTGTGGATGCAATGTTGCATGCCTCCTCATGTGAAGTTGAGAAGTATAGGTGGGATTCAACCTCGGTAAAGTACTGTGTCCTCCTAAATTTGGTAGGGGATTCATAAAATGGTGAGGGAAAGAGTGTGAATGGGAGTGAGAGTGAGCACTGGGCGATGCTCCCGGCTCTCTTCGTGGTGGTAAGGGTGGAGGGGAATTATCACGAGGAAGAGAGTTGTCACGAGGTGGGAGAATGGGAGCGTCTGGCGCCTGTCTCATCTAAAATAGAAAAAAAAACAATCTTTAGTACTTAATTATCTTTCGAATTTATTTTTATGTTACATATAGGATCTTACATTTAATATTTGTTTTCCGTTCACAACTTTCTATTGATTTATGAACGCCAGATAAATCTGGCGAATACAGAGAATTTTCCAATAATGCATATTTTGAATCTCTCAACGTTTATTATGTCAAAGGGCTTTGTGAGCGGATGCAAGTGGAATTTTGCAAACCAACTCTTTTCTTTCGAATATTTTCATTGAAGTGTTCAAGAAAATGTGCACATATTCCCCATATGACAATTTGAGAGGATGTTAGTTAAAAATATTTACTTGAAGTTTCAAAAAACACCAGTTATTATCTTTCCAGTGATAATTTTCTTTGTTTTCTTCGCTGTGGTGAAAATATGTACGACCAAGTTTATACTTTTTGGTCCATTTTTATCGTTGATAAATAATAAGAAGGTGCCTTTACACTTTTATCAACTTTGATAACAAAATAATCTAAGTTTTACTTTCATCAACTATGGGACTAGGCCAACTTCATCGTATCTGAAAATATTATTTACTATTTCTAGACTTACCTGTTGTGGCGAACTAATCTCAGGGCTATCCCTTCTCCTCCTTGGTGGCAAAGGTGGGGGTGGCGGTGGAGGGGTAGGAGGTAAACGAGGACTGATGGGTTCGGTGGGCAGATGAGGTCCGGGAGAGACGGGACTATGAGGACCGGGACTGTTCGGTCCACCAGTTGAACTCTGGCTATTGTGACTGTATCTCTGCGGTCTATAACAAAAAAAGTCGAGTTCACAAAAATCAATACGACTTTAGAAGGTTCTTTATTTGGAGTTGAGTAGGATCATAAGTATACAACAAACAATTAATAAAACAGTGCTTACATTGATGGTGGTATAGGTTCTGTCCTAGACGGTCTGAAAGACGTGGTAGAAATAATGGAACTAACGCTTGAACTCCTCGTGTGATGGAACCAGTTCATAATAGGATTGGACGCTGCTGGAGAAACTGGACTTAAAGTAGGACTGTTCTGACCAGTTCCCAACTGTACCTGAAACAATTATTTATATTCCAACGCTGATCTGCTAAACAAGGAATAATAAATAGATTTATGCATAAAAATTGATACTTACCGGTGCAAAAACACTAAAATCATTATCAGACCTGGAAGAATCTTCGCTCTTGGAATCATCACTTTTTATCGTAGAGTTCAAAGTCTGACTGATAGTATTCGCAACGGCACTAGGCACACTCTTTGCAGTCTTTACGGTTTTGATACCAGGACTCTTCAGATTCAAATGCGGCCATTTCCTAGGGAACTTCGGAGGTATTTTACTGCCTCTCGGTTCGATTTCCAAAGATTTTTGGTACAAATAATTACTGATTTCCGTATCGTTCATTTCTCCGAATGGATTTAACGTTTCTAGAAAATGCTGTAAACATATATGGAATATAAATATGCTATTATAACTACCAAGTAAAGTTTTACTGATTTTAATCAGATACAATAATAGGAGAAAGTCGGATAAAATCCTACAAAATGAATAGGAATAAATAGGACACAACCAATGGTACCACTAACTGATACCTCTAAATTTTTTTAGAATTTGAAAGTCACGGTTTGCTATTAATTAGTCCTTTATTAGTAATATTAATAATGTAATATTAATTAGTATTATGAATAAAACATTTACGTTGAATTGGGTAAAAACTTTCATGGACTTCTGCCTACCTCCTCAGATCAAACAATGGTCGGGTTCTTACACCCGCACCATGACAAAAAATTTTTTTCAATTTTTTTTTAACGTGTTTGTGAAGTCCAGTCGGTTTTTTATATGTTTTTTTATATGCTCTAAGAATTGCAACAAAAATCATAATTTGGAAATATAAGGAAATGAGATCTCTCCTTTGTAGTGGTATTTAAAAAATTGACCATAGCTCTGATGATGGCTTTGTAAAGCCGAAAGCGCTCAGCTAGGAATTGCCTAAAATATACACACTTCAAAAATACTTTTTACATTTTCTTTCGACGAATCTATGTATACTTCGTTCAATTTCAAGATAAGCTCGATGTAAACAGTTTCAGACACGTGATCGATGGGTGTGTTCCGTCATCATAGCTTGTCATTGGTTAGCACTTAATTTCTAATCAATGACAAGCTGCTATGATATGACACACCCACCGATCACGTGTCTGACACTGTTTACCTCGAGCCTATCTTGAAATTGAACGAAGTATAGCAGTGAATGACAATGGAGTGGGGAGAAGACGATTATAACTTCGAACTTTATAGAGTATACCAGGGACCAAATATCGTAAAACATATTACGATAGGACGTCTGAGGTGAATAGTGCATATAATGCGGATGGAACAGAATGACCCAGCTAGAAAAATTCTCCCTGATAGACCCATTGGTCAGAGAAGAGGAAGACCCAGAATAAGGTTCCTTCACACCATCGATGAAGACACGAGAAATATGGGAATACGTGCTTGGCGGAGAAAGGCGACGGATAGGGACGACTGGAGAGAAATTCTTGAGGAGGCTAGGACACATGCAGGGTTGTAAAGCCAGAATGATGATGATGACCGTGTTGTGACAGAATGTTCGCAACTGATTTTTGTGTTTGTTTAAATTCAAAAGGTTTACCCGTGAGTAAGGCATTTTGTAAATAGCCAATAGCTTAATACACGTACCAGTTGCCGATTTAAATATGTTTGAAGCCGATTTTTTAACAGTTTCACGTTATTGTGAATCAGTCCTATTAACTTCCAATGAGATGATTTTTTCAAATGTTTTTATTTTTGATGGACTGTTTTAGTCCGAAAACGTTTGTTTTTTTGATGTAGCCCTTTTAAGGGTTTTTTAAATAACTATACCCATTTACGAAGACTAACCTAACTTTTTTTTTAGAATATTCCTGGAAAATCATTAAATTCCCAAGGACAGCACCTTGTATATGAATATTTTGAACTGAAAAGGAGAAGTGGATGACGTTTGGAACCTTTTATGTGTAGATATATTTAAGAGAGTAGTAGTTGGTGAATTAAAAATAAGCAGTCCTTTCAACCGGGGGCAAAAAGTAGACCTCATTCTAAAAACAAGACAACTTATTTATTTGAGGGTTTAAAATGACAGACGTGATATTGTTACAATAAAATATAATTACATTGAGAAATATACGAGGCGGTCCGATAATAACTAGGGCTGTCTTTGTAGTTTTGCATATAGCCATAAAGACAAAAAATATATAGACTTAAAGTACTTTATTGCTTTTCAAAATATATTCCACCAAGATCGATATTTGCATACATTCAAAACAATTGGTAAAACAGTTATTTCAGTCTTCAGTTGACACCTGCAAATCGCTGCCCAGGCATTGAATTCTTGATCTTTGGGAACGCGAAGAAGTCATTGGGACTTAGATCGGGGCTATGGTTATATGGTATACGGTTATACGGGTATATGGTTTAAAAATTGGATGTTTTGAAGCTGCAAAAACTCTATTGTCTTTTGGGTAGTGAGCACTTTTACATTGTCCTCATGTAGGATGATTCGCCGTTGTGTGTTGCTTTGTCGGAGTTTCGCGATAACTTTTGGTAAGCAAACGTTTATATAGCAATCAGAAGTAACCGTTTTTCGATCTTTTAAAGCAATTGTTGCCACATGATCAGATTTTGACACACAAGTTGCGACCATTTTCTGTGACACACTTCGAGAACGGATCACTTTTGTTGGTTTTTTTCTCGTCCTGAAACACCCACATATCGCACTGGCGTTTATTTTCCGGATCGTAGGAGTAAATCCAAGATTCATCGCCACTAACAATATTATAAAGGTTTTGGGCTTCCTTTGTTGAACCGTTTCAATGTTTTTCGACACCAATTGACGCGAACCGCTTTTTGCTCTTCTGTGAGCAAATGGCGGATCCAACGGGAAACCAACTTCGTAACACCCAGTTCTTCATGTAGAATCTTTTGGATCGAGGTTTTTGAAATGCTCAAAGATGCCTCTATCTTCCGGTATGTTACACGGCGGTCATTCTTAATTAGCTAACGAAATCCCATCAATGTTTTGCTGTGTCACTGCCGTTTTGGATGGACCTGGTCTGGATTCGTCGCTGAGACTGGAGCGACCACGTTGAAATTCCCAATATCAGCGGGAAATAGTTGACTGGTGTGATGCTTAATTCCTTAACACAGAAACCATTTCAGCGAGATGTTGCTGTTGGAATAATCCGAAAATTGTAAAAAATTATTGTTCTATTGTTCTACACGACTTGTTGTATCGCAATGGAACTCGCAATTTATGTTACATGTGTATCTGAAGGTTTTATTGGCGGCGCCCTTTAAGCGGTTATATGCAAAACTAAAAAGACAAACCTCGTTCTTAGCCTACAAAAGAAAAATGAAAATTTTAGGTTAGAAAAGTGGAGATTTATTTCTCAAATAGTCTCCTTTTAGCTTGACATACTTGACTCACCGTTTGAAAAATACGTTTTCTCGAGGTCGGTAATGGAAGCCTTCGTGGCGACGAGTGACCTCCTCATTCGACTAGAATGAGTCTGTTCGGCGAGTGACTTTTTCATGTTTGGAAAGAAAAAGAAGTCGCGCGTAGACAAATCTGGAGAATACGGTGGATAGGGCAGCAGTTCGTAGCCCAATTCGACCGTGGCGACGACGGAGATGTGCGTTGCCATGATGGAAGAGCACTTTTTTCTTCGGAAATTGGGGCCGTTTTTTTTTGCAATTCGGAGTCAATTCGGCACAATAATTCGAATAGTAGAGCCCTGTGACACCTTGAAAATCTCAGGTGTCGACGGTCAAGAAAGAACGCAAAAACTTTCTCGCATCGGCAATGGCTGAGCACTTATCGGACTGCCATAGTATAGTAAGAAATTGTAGTTATTTGCAGAACTTTTATAAGTCTTAGCGCTTTATTTAATTGGATCAGTTTTCCTGCTTTAAGCAATAAAAATAAGTACTGCCAAATACCTAAATATATGGCGCAAATCACGATAGGGCGCATCTAAAAAAACTTGTGTTTTATTATGAAATACGTATTTGCGCTGTCGACGTCGTTTTTGGACAATATATATTTTCAAGTTTTCAAAATCAAAAATAAATTATTCAAAAACAACAATAAATTTAAAAAAAAAACTTCAAAAAACTTTCACCGGGATATTGCCATTTCTTAATTCTTGAATTGATGACGAACGTTTTGGTTTAATTGAATGATGATGTTTGGACAAAGGACCCATTGAGTATATGCTTATCAAAATTCCTTTAGATTACAAAAATTACTATCCGCGATATCTCACGGATAAGTGAAGATAATTATAAAGTAATTTGAAGGTAGGAGAAAGAAATATTGATAGAAGAATGAAGAATTGATACGATCAACTTACCCTAATACTTGGCTCAACACTAAAACAGTACGGTTGGTTCTGATACTGTTGGATCTCTCCGGTGATCTCCGCCACTTTCCTCCTTTTGAAAAAATTGATGAGCTGAGTGTTGGGAAGGAAGTCCGGGTTACCTTCTTCAATATGTAAGATGTTCGTAAGATACATGCCTAGGAATGGAACGCAAGGGGGATTGATGGATCTCAATTTCTCCTGGTACTTTTTGAAACGATCGTCGCTTTTCCGGCTGTCTTCGAGTGCCTTCCGATTTGGCACAGTCAACGCCTATTGGAAACAATAATAATAACTAAGTGGTTTTACAAATTCAATAAATAAATAGAAAATACGAAAGTGGTTACGTTGTTGATGAAAGTGAACTCAATGACAAATAGAACACTTGGTTCATTAAATTGTAGGGTCTAATTAGTAAAATAAACACTTTTATTTTACTATTTTTAAAAAATTTTCCTTATTAAACAACACAGTCTCCTTCCAGATTGATATACCAACTCTAACGCTTCTCTAATAATTTATTATATGCCTTTTATGTGTAAAATGATTTGTGATTGACCTTAACATACGTCTTAAGTTTCACTTGATCTAAATCAAATTCATATGAGCGAAATCGCTTATCTAGGAAAACTTGCGTCTTTGGACTCTTCAGACAGCGTTCACCTGCTTTTGTTCACTCAGCTGACTATCAGTCTGACTTAGTAAGGAAAAGGTATATCTATCCTTCATGTAATATCACATATCGAGGAAAGTAATGATTATTGCGCTAAAAAGTTGCAAATCTCTAGCTTGTCAACGCATTGTTTTTAATCGACTGCTTTTTGATATATATAGCCATTGCTTTCCGATGCCACTTAAATTTAACATGGAACAAACGAAGTTTGCAAATAATTTTGATGTTTTCTAAAATAACCACCGAATGTGGACAATCAAAGCATGTAGCATCATTTGTATTTATATGGCTATAAGTAAAGTCAGCATATTACCTCTTAACCGTTGTTTAAGACACAATAGAGTGCGAACAACATTTATAAAACTCGCTTTGCTTGAACAATAATTTTCCGATCAGGAAAACAACTCTTATCTTATTTTTGATCACACACCAGCGCGAACGCGCACGCAGCTACATACCTATCAAAGATTTTCAGAACAGTTTGTTACCAGATTAATATTAACGTACAAAAAATATGTTTTAATAATACTTACATTGAAAGTGCAATGCAGCCTATACACCGAAGCTGATCCAAGTGCGGACACTATCGCGAGAACTCCATTGAAGTTGTTGATATCGTTCAGGCAAATCATAATTTCGATTACCCTGTTTACTATTGCGACTCTTTCTTCGAAATTTTCCGCTTCAACTATGTTCTTTTCAAGCCAACGCGTAAACTAAAAGAACAAAATAACACATAATACAAGATGAAAAAAATGAAAAAATTTAATTGATACTAAATTGAAGTATTGAAATATAGTTGCTATGATCTATCGCACATCGGCAACAACACTGTCACAAATCGAAATTCAGTGTTTTTATTTTTTTGCATTAAATGAACATTTTGTTAAACTTTCGTCAGCATCACTGTAGAAAAGATATTTTGTCACAGAAGCGCTAGATGGCCTATTTTTGTAGAACTCTATTCAGCAACAGTGTAACAACTCACTTACGACAGTGTTGTAGTAATATTTTGTATATTGTAAATTTCGATTGAGTGCTTCTTCATTTATCCAAAATATCACTTTTTCCCAAAACAATTTGTATGGAAGAAAATAAAAGTTAGGGAATGCCACTATGTTCTCACGAATTTTTAGGAATGAATTTAATATCTTATTTTTCAATCCTAAGAAAGATCAGTGCGGTATGTGTGAAAAGTATAAAATGCGAAGAGTAAGGTCCATTTACAGGAAAATTAGAGAAAAAAGAGCAACATGCAACAGTCATCAAATACAAGTATCAAAACCCATTAGTTACTTTAAAATTAATGATAAAAATCTAAATAGGTAGATGTTTCTAACGATTACTTTGATATAGGTAATAAGCAAATTTACTTTAAGGTAATTACCTTTGTATGGTATATTTTTTAAATAAATGTACTAAAATGTCTTAACAATTATTGCCACCTATCACAATTTTCACGTTGAACCGTAATTTCTGTGCAATTTATAACCACTATCATCAGCAACAGTGGCACATTGTTATAATACACATTTGGGTTTTCAGCATCATAAACACATTTGTTAATAATTAATGTAAGTTTAAAATTTCTACAATACAGAATACTAATTGATAAAACAACCTAAATTAATCTTATTGAAGTAAAAATAACATTATCATTCAATTTATAGAAATAATCGAATGTTAAATCGATTTAAGGATAATCTTCATACCCGATTTACTCAAAATTGCAATTTTTGACTTATGACAGTGTTGTTGCTGAGGTGCGTAATGTTCTTTCTCATTCCAACATCATCTTTCTGCTACATGAAACATGGAAATTATACACAATTAATATGGTATATCAATAAATATTAGTCGCTAAAACGAGAGAAAATTTTTCCTCCCATTACTACACATTACTAGCCCCGCCCACTGACGTCATTGCTGGGCTGGCATCTGACAAGTAGGCGGAGTGGTACATGAATTTTGACGAATAAAAAAATAATTGTAAATATAAGTAAATAATGTAGGTGACAACAGGGAAACGTATCACTATCTTAAGAAAGACCTCTACAGCATAACAATTAATGCTACTGACATCGAACAGTTTCGCACGGGTTAGCGATCCCATCCCTATTTTATTTGAGAATGATCATTTTTAGTGTGAAAAAGGTCAAAATAATACTAAGAACAACTAAAATGTGGCACTAAAACTCGTAGGTGGTCATGCTAAATTCATTGAGTAAAAAGACAAAAGAGGGAATCTAATCGTTAGGAAAAGGAGACCAAAATTCATAAAAGTGGCCTCTTTATGGCGGACATATCCGGAAATGCAAAGGCGCCAAATTTAAATTTTCCGACACTTATTAACAGTAACTATAAAATATATTTCAGAATGTGTCTTAGACGAGGAAGTTTTAATTAAATATTAGCGATAATAGTCTAAAATGTGACACAATTGTTAAAAAAACTTCAATAAAAATAAGATTTCATGTGACAGTTGGGACAAACAATAACATAACCCAACTAAATTTGATTTCTTAAACAAGGAAAGAGACTCTCTTTCCTTGTTTAATGTGGCCTCTCAAAATGGCACTTCCCGTCTAACAATATTTTTGTCCCCACTACCTTTACATTCCCTCTTCTGTCTTTTTGCTCGATGGCTAAATGACTTAATTAAACCAGTCCAGTATAGATCTGTGAAAAAATATCTTAAATTGGTTGTTTTTAGTTGGATGGACTTTAGATGTTTGTAGAAATGTAGCAGAAGGTTGTTTACAACTAAAATTTGGATATGTTCCAGTTGAAAAAGTGTGTAAAATTTTGAATAAAAATTTGGAACGAAAAATCACTGTTACAAGCACCTTTTTGCAACTTTTTATTCTGAATTATTTATATTGAATATTTCGGAAAGTATATATACGAAAAAAATGTAAATAAATAGAATTGCTTGCAATTAAATTTAAAAACAAGTTTCTTGTGCAGTAAATAAAAGTTTAAAGCGTGTAGTAAAAATAAGGTTTTTATAAATTGGCTCATGACAAATAAAATTTGGTATAAACAATTTGAAGTTATCTCTCAATGATTGTAAGAGCGCTTTCTTTAAGTAATCCCGTTGGAATTTTTTCAAATGAGGCAATCCTGAGAATTACCATTGGACCCCTTTTTTGGGACATTAACTGAGACGACTTCTAGAAAACCTTTTAGCGCATCTTTTTAGTTCATGGGAACTACAGAAAAAAATTGTTGGTTTAATTCAAAGATAAAATAATATTTAAAAATCATGTTACGATTCTAATATTTCTTGTTCGTATCTCATAAAGGAGCTGAGAAAAGTTTTTTGGAAAATATGATTTTTTTTAGCCTTCTAACCTGTACTAGTTCCTTAAGGGATTTTGAGAAGAAAAAACACACTATAGCATTCTATAGAACAATAAAGTCTGTGTTAGTTGCTACCGTCAATGGGAATCCACAATTTTAGTTGAAAATATGTTTTTTATTGACGTTTCAATTGCCACTTCGGAAAAAATTTATCAAAATACTTAATCAAAGTATCTTCAGAACCATATATATGTTTTAGGTCACTCTTACCGCACAACCTTCATATAGTATGAAGTACTATTTCAGCCTAGACCTTATTTAACTATAGAAAACATATTAATGTATTTGAAATACCAGAAATAATAACTATTAAGTTTATGTTGTCGGAAAAAGATAGTTTAATCTATTTTTTAAACATGTTCTAATCATATGTATATTACTTACATCCGTCGTATGTTTGATCATCTTTAACAAATTGGGGCTAGTAGTTTCTTTATCTCTCTTCGTCCACACCGAACCGACCAATTCAGATGGTTTAATTGTCCTATACAAATCGAATTCGAGAATCGTAAGTTGCCTCGCCAATTCTACTGGGTGTAATGTCAGAATGCCGTACTCGTCCTCTGGACAGTTGATATGTCTTTCGATGGGAGGCGGTGGATCGTCAAAGGCAAATTTTATGTGCCTTTGGTTATCGTTTTCCATCTAAAAAAAAATAATATTTAATGTAGCAATTTATGATTTCGATAGAATAATCTTTATTCACAAGAATCAGTTGACAAACCAAACGTTTAAATGACTGCAACTAAAGTGAATAGTGTTAGTGAATTGATATCCCGTTCAAGAATGCTCTCATAATTTTACACTGGAGTAATGGATTGTTAATGGCAACAGAAAATTTAATATTTAGATATGCATTCAACACAGCTTTAGGAATTCGGCCATTAAATTATTTGAATAAAATCATTATACCAGTGGAAAGAAATCACATGAAGCTAATGAGAAGGAGCATATAAGAGGATCCGAAATGGATTAGGATCATTTTCTGGTGAAAGCTACTTGCAAAATATTAGAAGATGATAAAAAACAAGAAACTTAAAGATAGCGAAAAGAGGACGATATAGAAAAACTAAATGAAATAAAAACAAAAAGAAAAAATACATAAATGAAAATCTATTTTCAGATAAAACTAGGCATAGGACAAATGTGGAAAAGTTCAAAAGATAATTTGAACATAACCTCAAAAAATGACAACGTGACGTCACATTGATTACATTAACTGACATTAACATTATTATAAATAATACGATTGAGGCTCTGGCGTAATTTCGGCGTTGGACATGCGAAGTTTTCGGCAAGTACGCTTCCATTTTTGATTTATTTTTGATAGATATTATTTTTTAATGACTTACTTTTCTTTGGACGATTTTAATGACACTATCCACCCACTTCCGCATACTTTTTCCATGTACGGAATCCAAAAAGTTTTGTAATTTCACTAAAAGCGCTGCATCTCTTTCGAAATCATAAAAATGATGGTCTACCCAATGACGTAACACATTTAATACCCTAAAATAAAATAAAAAAACTTAAAATATCTAATGTATTTTATAAACATACATGATTTTAACTTAAAATGTCCACAATTTAAATTGTAAAATAAAATATTTATTCTTATTTTGACGTCCCAATCGGACACTGTTACTAAATTTCTTTGATAATGTTTTTTTTTCTTCATCCGTTTCTTCCCATCAGTTGTAAAACTCAATAAGTCGTAACTTGTTTGATCTGATGTGATGCAAAATTGCTTCAATGAGTTTCTAATCTAGGGTTCGCTACAATATAGCAGTATGAATATTTGGATAACAACCATTTATGGTTTATGATTTTTTTTTACTTTTTGTTGGTCAGTTTGTTTTTCTCATTTTCAACATTTCTGACTTTCAAATCTTTACAGTTGTGATGGTCACCCTAAAAGTTTGTCAAAACTAATGCCCTAACAAGCCCTAATTTCCACAATCCCTAAAGGTCAAATATAAGCTAAAATAAATCAACATATACAAAAATACTGAATGATTATTAGAATGAAGTCGTATCATATTAACCACAGTTAAAATTTTGACAAAAGAAACGGACTTACCTGAATTGCACCGGTTGACAATATTCCTTCCTATACTTTTTCCAATCTTCCCTTTGGCTACTTTTCTGCATTTTATCAGTATCACAACAGTCTTGTTCGTAGACTAGAGACGGGTCTGGTATTTGGAACCGTTCAATTAACAGATCTAGTAGTTCTGTGGGTGAACAGAAGCTCCTGTACGTCGTCAGAAAGGTCCTGACGAATTTTGGATCAGCATAAATATGGTAAGTCAGTCTTTCAACAAGTTTATATATAGTTGCGCCCTAAAAGTAAATTTTTTTAAAATAAGTTACGATAAAAGATGCATACAGCAGAGATTATAAGCCTTTTTTAAATTTTTTTTGTGTATGTTTTAGTCAGTTCTATATTATTTAATTTATTCATCTTACAGTGATAGGAGTTTTAAAACATTATGATGAACGTTTCAACTTATTCGGTGTGCTGATAGTCTTTGAAAGGATGTGTGATCACCAAATAATATGGTAACAGCCGTACCAAATAAAAATTCAATATTATTTGGAACAGCCAGCTTGCTCCACAATAACCAAATTCATCTTCGCACTGGTGGCCGGAGAGGAGACTCATGTCTCTAAACAGCATGGGGAGTAAATGTTATGAAGAGGTAAATGTTTTAATTACTTAATTAGTTGTCAGGGCTACTCCACCAAGCAAGAAAATAGATATATACTTTATCTATTTTCGCTTAGCGCGGTATAGAAACTTAATTAATCAGTTAGCGGGGATATTTAGTGGCTAATAAGCAGATTCCTGTTATCACTCAGGATTCTTTAGTATGGGAATGAGCTTGACTTTTTACACTTTACTTTCAGCATTGAAGAGGCATTGGCTTTTTACAATTTCCAAAACAAACAAACTTTTTTCAGTTGATCCTCGCTCTCCGGGAAGCCCAATTAGCAGCCCACAACCAACAAAAAAATTTGTAGGGAAAACTATTTGACCCATATGGATATTCGATATGACGACGTTGGTTACTGGCCTGTTGCTTGTTCAGGGCTTGAACAGCTATGTAAATCAATTAGAGCAATGTAATGGAAGATCAAGGATAAAATGTGACCAGTGTAATCTGCTTCTATGTTAAACCCTAAGAGGAATTGTTTTAAAACCTTTCATGTAAAATGATTAATAATATTGTTTTGTATTTGTTTGTTTTATTTAATTGTGGCCTGAGAGTGGCAATTGCCCAACCCTCCCATTTTTATCTTTATTTTTTGACTTTGATATGGATTTATAACATCTAAAAGTCATATGAAACTGGAAATCATAAAAAACTATTGAATAAATTTGCACAAAACAAAAAAATGCAGGTTCGAAAGGGTTAATATATCAATCAAACCGACATGAATTTTCGTTGACCCAAAGACCTTTTTAAACGCAAATATTTAATAGTCGCTCGACTTTAATTTTCAGAACTGGTTGCAATGGACTTAAATATAAATAATTCCTCTGATTATAAATATGTCAGAGGAGGAGTAATGTGATCAACTCTCGTATATAAAGTTTAATGTTTGTACATGGGCCTATTGATTTAATACAAACGTGTAATGCAAGTTGTGGAGGAAAATTATGCAAAAGACTTACTTTAATTAGAGGAACTCCGCCATTTTCTCTCTGTTCGAGAATAATGTTATCTTTAGAATCGGGTTCGGCGAACTTATATAGTTCAGGAGGAGGAAGTTTCAGCGGGTGCTTCCTCTCGATGTCCGACAGAATACTATCTAACACTCTCTCCAACATAGACCTGCAACAAAATCATTATAAATATAACTGTACGGATTGTGATCCGTAGATCATTAAAAAAAAGTGAACTTTTTCATATTAAAACCCCTTTATTAGCTAATAGTTCTATAAAGTATGTGAAATTTTCTTATTTGTTGCTTTTTCTCTATCTTCTGCTTTTCTTAAGAGCGTCTGTGTGTTTCCCGGTCCGAATGTTTTTCAGCCAGGATATTTGTCGTCGTGTAAACAGTAAATTTACAATTTACTGTTTGTATTTTGAGAACGATTTCCCAAGTGGAAATTGAAACGTCAATAAACGTATTTTTTTATCTTTAATTGTGGCTTATTCCCAGTTAAATAGTAATTAATTTAAAATGCCACAAGAAAATAGCTTTAGAACAATATAGAGTTTCTGTGTTTTTATAACACAATCTTTGATTTTGCTTACTACATAATGTTCACATTCTCAGTGTTTTTCATTTTTGATGTTAATTTCTTCATTTCTTGATTGATACAAGTTGAAGCCTCAGACGGATATTTATCCTGAGTAACTGAGTATTTAACTTAGAACTTTTTGATTTTATTATCTTTTTTACCCTCAGTTTCATTTTTGAGACAAGGAGGTTATGGTCTGAAGGGACATCTGCCACAGGAAAAGTCTTAACACTTATAATTGTATTTCTAAATCTTAGATGATAATTAATTAGCATCTCTAAACTGATAATTAATTCAGATAGAATTATGTATCAGAAATTAGGATTATTACATCCAAGTTCTAATAAATCGACCGATTCTACCCGATTATGCCAGAAGACCGTGTGTTCTGAACAGGTTGCCCAACGAAACTACCATCTCTGACTATTAGGATATACCTGGTCCTTCCAGAAAAGCTGCAGAAACGATCGATACTGGTAAGCTGACCGGCAAAAACTCAAACCACTATCTAAAGACCATAGACGTCACCATTGACTTCAACCGTGCAGAAGTTACAGATCCTGAAATCTCGTCTGTCAAAGGACATAAAACTAAAGGTCGTGAGTTCGAATCCCACCTGGGTGGAAATTTTCGTTTATTAAAAAAATTAATAAATGAAAATAATTTCTATCCTTGTGTGATCGGTACACACCGGAGGGACCGCAGACGTTCGGATACAATTAGCGTCTCTTAGCAAAGACAATGACGTCGACTTTGCTAAGTATCAAGACAATTACTCTACACACACAAACACACTACATTAATAAACTTGATGTTGATTGAGACTGGCTGAATGACAATTGTCCAAGCCAAAAAACACACAGCCAAAAAAAAAAAAAAAAAAAAAGGACATAAAACAGATATAATACAAGATTCAACGAAAATGGATTCCAATAAGATATAATTTAATCATTATTGATAGCAGAGTAGATAGTGCAGGCTACTTTAAGATCTTAAATAAATATCGGGTCCAAACAGCATTTATCTTCTATCCTGATTGTTGACAATAATTACAAGGTAACTTGTACCCTACCATACTTTCACACATGCATGAACTTGGTTAGATAATATCAAGACTGCATTCATGCCCGTAGCCAACAATTCTTCCACTTTCTAGATATATTATAAAAAAATAGATATAAAAATATATTTTACTCACCTATTATTCAGCATCACCAAATCCGCCATCCAAGAATTCTTGTCTTCCATCGATTTGGCACACAGAATGACAGAAGGAGTCTGCCTCGGAGATATTTCGAAGGCATGTTTTAATTCTTCCGTATCTTGATGATCTATGATTTCCACTTTTCTAATGAAGAACCTCTCCTTGAGCTTGCATTCGGGATGACTCGGATGGTGCACTGAACTCTGCCTCCTACGTAAATTAATTTGTTATTAACATACATTTTCTTCACTAAACTCAAAAAGAACCGTATTTTTAGTTTCTTTCGCACAAATCTATCTGGATATAACTAGTTATCCGGATATCTGAAGGATATCTTACCTTGAATTTGGTTTGCAGAGTATCATCAGACCATCGAAAAGGAACACCCGTCTGTCGGTCAGTCTTTTATTGTTGCCAACTTTGATCAAAGTATCTTCTTTAACGAATTCGTTACAACACTGCCCCAGATCCTTTGAATCCCAGTTTTCTACGATCTTTTCCAGTTCGTGGATCTTTATAAGTGCTGCTTGTCGTCTTGCTCTCGCCTGGGGAAGCGGAGCTGAACTCCTGGGTAATGTTTGAGTGGGAACACAACTTCCTAGAAGGATACGAGAGTATGAGTATAAAAAATAAGCAAAACAATGTCGATAATAGAAATCGATAATAGACTTCGTAATAGTCAAACAAGATACCACAATAAAGATAAGAGATGTGAGAGTCAGAAGAGAAGCAGAATGTGGAACTGATCATAAACTACTGACAGCAAAAATAGGTATTAATTGGAAACATAACAAGACCCATCTCCGTTGAACACTATAAGAGAAAAACAATACAATATAGAACTACTCCAAGAATAATCAATAAGAGAACTATACAACAACGTCTAGACCAAAAATTAATAGAACTCAGATACGGCAACATCGAAGAAATATATGAGCATATAAAGGCGAGTATAAAACAAGTAGCATTCGAAGCACTTGGAGAGAAAGAACATATAACAAATAAACAGCATTATTATGAAATAAACTAACAAAAAGAATAATTGAAGAAAAAAAGCAACTATACAGAAAATGGCTGACTACAAACAAAGATGAAGTTTATAAAGAATATACAGAAAAAGATAGAGAAGTGAAAAAACAAATGACACAACAAAAGAATGAAGAATGGTTAAGAGCCTGCTTAAATAATGAAACATATATAGGAGGTACAAGAACTTCGCAGTCATGGTAAGTACTGAGAGGATTGAAACAAAACTGAAAAAAAAAAATTAAATTGGGAAATATACAGGACAAAGAATGGAAGGACTATTACAAGGAACTGTTAACAGAACAAACACCACAATTCATTGGAAAAGAAAACAGGCAAAGACGAAGCAGATCACATAACAAGAAATAGAAATAAAAGAGAGGGAAATGAGGACGGCCATAAAAGCAATCAAAAATAAGAAAGCACCGGGACTTGGAGGCATCTCATTACAGCTTATAACGTATGGCTCAAAAAAATTACATCGGATGATAAAATGGATATTTCCCAAAAAGCCACAAATGGACAACAGCTCCCAAAGGAATATACGGAGGCATATATGACATCTATATTTAAGAAAGGAGATAGAAAACGATGCAAAAACTACAGAGGAATAAACGTAATATCATCAATAGGAAGATTATATAGGAAGATACTGAGATAAAAGATAGAGCAAGCGATAAAAGGCAAAATCGGGGAGGGTCGGGCAGGCTTCACGACAGGAAGATCATGCATAGACCACATATACAACCGTTGGAAAAGAAAAAAGCAAAAAATAGAGATATACATTTGGCATTTGTGGACGTAAGAAAGGCGTATGACTCTTTACCAAGGTCAGAACTATGGGAGGCAATGTACAAAATAGAAATACAGACGGTACTCAAAGAAGCTACAAAAGCTCTGTATAAAGAAAATAAAGTGTCCATTAAAATGGGAACAAGAATCATAGGAGACTTCACCAGAACAAAAGGGCTCCTGCAGGTTTGTCCACATCTCCAACCCTATTCAAAATATACTTAGAGAAAGCCTTGACTACATGGAAAAGAAAATGCGAAGGTATTGGAATACCGGTACGAAACGAGTATATACGTTAAGCGTTACAGACGATCAAGTAGTGATTGTACAATACCAAGAAGACCTGGGTTGCATGATGAAGAAACTACGAGAAGAATATACCAAGACTGGCCTATATATTAACCTCTTCAGAGTACCTATGTACCAGTGAAGAAGACATAGAAGATCTACAGCTAAATGACAACGTAACAATCAAAGGAAAGAATAAATTCAAATAATTGGGGTTTATAATCACGAAAAAGACAACAACAAAGGAAGAAATTAAGCAAAGATTAGGACAAACAAGAACAACACGACAACTTAACTCAGTATGGTGGAATAGACACCTAAATATGAAGACAAAAGCACAGATTTATAAAACATTCGTGCGAAGTATTATGACGCTGAAAATTGGATTATAAACAAGAAAAACAGCAGTAAGATAGTAGCAACAGAGATGGAATACCTCTGAAGATCCTGCAGAGTAACAAGAATGGATAGGTGAAGTAATGACGAAATAAAGCAAAGAGCATCAATAAAAACAGACATACTAACATATATAGAACAAAAAAGACTGAAGTGGTATGGACATGTAAGGAAGAACTAGCGACAGTAGATGGATAAAGAAAATAACCGAATGGAGCTCCATAGAAAGGAGGAAAAGAGGACGACCCCGAAGATCATGGAGAAACGAAGTAGACGATCCCATGAGTAAGAGAGACCTAAATGATAAAGAATGGGACAACAGAGAGAGATGGAAACGGTTGAGCGAGGGAAGGCAGTGAATACTGTAGAATCCCTGAATATATATATATATATATATATATATATAAATATATATATATATATATACATATATACATATATATATATATATATATATATATATATATATATATATATATATATATATATATATATTGTTGTACTTTTGAATGTCCATTAGCAATAAAAAACCGATATACAAATTTTATTACTTAAATAAAAATTAAGATTATTGATATTTCATAAAGACACGGGCATATAAAGTTTCAAACATCCTGTATAAGACAAAATATGTATTTTAAGTTGTTCGAAGAATTGTTCATTAGGCCTCAGAGACAAGACTTTCAAATATTATCGATAAGAAATTTAAATAAGTCGGTTATTGTGGAATGGATTTACCCGTAATAAAAGTGTATGTAGAAAGTGTTTAAACAATAGACCGGGATTTGCGGTGGTTTTTTCTCCCCGAAAGATTATATCGGTAAAAGTTTATTAACAAAAGACATGAATTGAGAAACAGGTATCGTTTGTAGCTATTAGTAAGAAATATTTGTAAAGCAGATAGATTTAGTTAGAATAATTAAAGAATGTTGTTTTCTGGAATTACCCGAATGACGTTTTATAAAGAGAGTTGGTTGGTAACGATATACGTCACAGAGGTGGATGATTTTTATTGGTCAATTTTTGAATGCAATGGAGGTAGTGGTTTTGGCTATGAGATAGGAGAGAGGAAAAAAGTTAGTTAGTCAGTTTTCGTCGCCCAAGAAGGAAGGAGCTTTGTGGTTTGTGTTTGTTTGAAGTCCCGAAGACGTAATTTACCGGGTGTGTTTATTTGCTGTGTAAAAGCTGATCAGTGTAAGGAACGGGGTACAGAGAGATAGAAAAACCAAAGGGTATAAGAATATTAATATCAGACGAAGCCGGAAACATTTGAAGTTATAAACAGGCGCGGAGATTCGCTCAAAAGGAGGCTGCATAGAATTACACGAGTTGTTGGGTTGCAGATACAAGGACAGATAGGAGAAAGGTGTACGTCATCTGGACCACAATAGGAGCAGAAGCAGAGAAAGGTTTTTTTTTTATGGCGTGGCCATAGAATTACAACGGCAGAGAACGAAAGGTCAGTCAATTTTCATTAGAGCAGGAGTGTGGTTTTCACTTATTAATTAAATAAATTGAATAAATAATAGAGACAATTAATTTTGCGATCATTTAAAGAAAAAAATTATAAAGAGAGCTTAGTTATAACACATATTAAAAATCAATGTAAAATAACATTTGGGTCCATGATAGAAAACAACTTCTCATATATATTTAAAGTATTATATTGCAAATATTACAGGATTGATTGTTATAAAAAATTTCATTAAAATAAAGGACATCTCACATATAGTTCAGTTGAAATTCTGTGTATTTTATTCAGGTCATATTACCTATCCCAATTAGGAAGCCAATTGGAAAATATTTTGAATCCACGATCAAAGGTAAATAGTACAAGTTAAATAGCCTGAGATTGTAATTAATTAATGCTGATTTATTGTGATTAATTGGAGATTAGATCATTTAATAAATATAGACAGGATCTTTTCTAAATAAGCAATAGAATACAATTTAAATAGCATAACAATATATATATATATATATATATATATATATATATATATATATATATAGAATATGAAGAGAAATACATTCTTACCTAACGTAATTTGTAAGGGCTTCAACAATCCTTCGACTTGTGCCAACGTCTCCCTATCCTCGGTGGAAGGCGTCAAACCCTTTAATATCGTTATATAATCCAAATACGAAAAACAATGCCATATAGGTCCCATGAGCAATGCTGGTAAGTAGTATCGAAGAGCGAGCGGCATCCCTTGCCCTGCAGTGTTAAGTGAGCTTTGAACTTCGGGCCTAGTCAACAAAGTGTTCAAAGTTTCTCTACAACTCGGTGATGTGACGTCTCTAGCATATTTGATGTATACATCGAATTCTGCTGCTTCTGCAAGTTCTGCAAAGAAAATTAAAGGTTTAAAAGGGTTTCGCATTTTTTTAGGAGATAAGCAGTAATTTCAAATTAACATTTTTACTAACCTTCAAAACAGCTACCAATATAAGGCATCTTCTCTTGGGCCATTTCCCTAACATCTTCTAAGCTACCCGACAGTGTGTAAGTCAATTCGTAGATGTCCATAATATTTGAAAATATCTTCTCTATATCCTGCGGACCTGGATTCAACTTAATAATTTCCTCTCTGTAATGGGTAAAACGTTAATAACATATTTTAAGAAAATACAAATATAAAATGTACCTAAATACTTTGATCAACATGTGCAATTCCTTCAAATAAGCTTTTTCAGAAGCAATGAGTTCTCTGACAGTTTCTTCATAAGTAAGACTGGTCCTGGGTGCTGTTGATAGCATCACCGGTGTTTCGTTTAAATTACTCGAACCTCCCCCTTCATCTTGATAAAACATATCCATAAGAGCCTGGAAAATAACAGAAAACATAATTATCGCCTAAAATTCGGGCATATTTGTGCATTCTACATGGAAGGAAGGCAGTTTTGTACAGGAAATAGTAACTATGCAGAGCTTTTGGATGTTTAATTGCATAGAGGACTTTAAAGAGGAAATATAAACTACGAGGACTGCTATTTCAGTTTTGAGATGGTTTGGCGTTATCAGGATTATTCGCCCAATTGAGCTAAGGGCGCACTTGTCCGGACCGTCCGGCAACGAAACTCACTATGAAGATCCAAATATCTTTATTTGAATCTTCTTAGTGAGGTACTTCCACAAAAATTTATTATATAATATTATCACTACAGCTTTCAATTAATTAATAATTCTAGATTAATTTAATTTGACGTAAAAAATCGTTTTCCTAGTATTCATCATACAGAAACTTTTATTCTGGTAAAAAAACCTTTTAAACCAAAATAGTAAAAATCCAATCATTACATCTGAAATTTTACATCTTCTCGAAATTTGCATAAACCAGGACTACTTTGAATTTATTAATCAAATATATACAAATAACAGTACAAGACTTATAATATATGCTCTAAGCCAATTGCTATCAGATATTTTTATGGATCATCTAGAGACAAAGATTTCAAAACATCCCATATTCAAACAGTTTTTATATTGGTGGAGACACATAGACGACGTACTGGTATGTTTCATAGGAACTAACAGGCAACTTGACCAATTTTTATCGTATATTATTTCATTTCATAGTCATATTGAATTTACAATAGAAACAAAACAAAATCAATCCATAAATTTTTTAGATTTAAAAATTATCAGACTTAAAAACAAACATGACTTCTGCATATTTCATAAACCTACGCATACTGACACGACTATACACAATTCATCATCCCATCCCACACAACATATACTGGCAGCATATCATACTATGTTACATAAATTAACAGAAATTCCGATGTCAAAATACAACTTTGAGACACAATTAAATATCATTAACAATTAATAAAATTTTAAATCAAAAACTACACAAGAAAGCCCTGAAATTAATGTTTCCACCTTCAGAGAAAAAAACCCAGTACCTTTACTCGATTAAATATACAGGCAAAATATCAACAAAAATAGCCAAACACATAAAAAAGAAATAAATAACACCAGCTTTCAGAACAAATACCAACTTAGGAAAATATATTAAAAACAAAAAGAGCCAAAAAAAGCACTTACACAGTGGTGTATACAACCTTAAATGGGGCGACTGCCCAAAAACTTACATCGGTCAAATTGGTAGAAATTTTAATAAACGAATAGCAGAACATAAAAAAACTTTCAATAATAGAAAAGCAGATTCTACATACGCACTTCACCTCTAGGTGAAGAATATAATGATTGAATGAAGAATGATTATGATCTATAATCATTCTTTTTAATGACGAATTTAAAATTCTTAACGTTCAAAATAAAGGCCTTAAGCTATCTTTGTAAGAATCTATGGAAATTAACAAATTAAAAAACACCGATATAATTCTGAATGACCAACTTAAGACAAACAGTTCTCCCCTCCTCAACCTATTTCATTAAAGACTATAAAGTGTAAACGCATGCCAAAAATAGATCACTTGAGAAAGGCAATCAACCGAAGCAGCTGTAGTGATAAGATTATATAATAAATTTTTGTAGAAGTTTTGAAAACAATGTTTTCACTGTTTTACTGTTACATAAAATGGATTTCCATCAAGTAACGGTCGAATCCATCAATTATATTAAGATAAAATGTGTCTTGATGATCGATTAAATCATGAAATAAAGTAGCAAGTTTACTTTCCGTGTTTTGCTTTTTACAATTTTCATGCATCCATTTTTTACGCTCTTTTTTTGAAAGTTTACTTTGTTATTCCTCTTCCCCGCACAACAAACTAACAAATGAAACTTTTGGGATTCATTTTCCATGAAATATTTCAATCTACTGACTGAGCTGACGTGATTTTGTCCATTTTTTATGGATTTTTGTCCGCTTTATGGAATTTAATTCCAGGTTGTTGCGGTGCGTTCCTTTGCCGGCCACTTCAGACAAATTCTCGCTTAGCTTTAAGGTCGAGGCATATTATCATGCACGTTGCGTTTCCAGTCCGTAGCGTTCAGTTTCCGAAATATATAATTTAAATGGTTTTAAATATGAACAATTCACACTGTCCGGAACGTATCGTATCAGACACCTAACGTTTCCGTTCAGTATATTCGAAAACAATATTTTACGAATGCCGACAGCTACGGAACGAGTCGAAACCTATTGGTTTGGATAATGTGAATTAGGGGTCCTTCGTTCTCTCCTTGTTGTTTATTTAGGTATTTGTTTGATTTTGATCTTCTTCTTCAAGTGCCATCTCCACGGCGAAGGTCGGTAATCATCATAGCTATTCGTACTTTTGAGACGGCTGCTCAGAAAAGTTCATTTGATGTACAACCGTACCACTCTCTTAGTTGCGCAGCCATGACATTCTACGCCTCTCTATGCTTCTCTTTCCTTGGATCTTTCCCTGCATAATCAGTTGGAGCAAGGTGTATTTCTCTCCACGTGTAATATGTCCGAGATATTCTATTTTTTTTGTTTTTATTGTAATTAAAATTTTCATTTCTTTGTTCATCCTTCCCAGAACCTCTTTGTTTGTGAGGTGTTCTGTCCATGATATTTTCAGAATTCTTCTGTACACCCACAGCTCGAATGATTCCAGTTTTTCATTGATGTCACATTCAAGGTCCAAGATTCCATTCCATAAAATAAAGTCGAAAAAACATAGCACCTCGCCAACCCTACTAGATTTTGATAGATAACAGAATATCTAAAAAAATCATTTTCGAGGCATTAATTGTCATTTATGCATGTGTTTTCATTACTTTGTGACAATTAATCACGGAAGTGATAAACAATTAGGACTTTTGCACGGAAGTAATACCTTTTCTTTTTTAAAAATACTCTTTGGATTGATATGTATGGCCTCGTTGAATGTAGTATTTTGTTTTTTAACTAAGGGTGTAATTAAATTTAAAATATATTCAAACTGAATCCTATTCATTCTAAAATATCCATAATATTTTTCATCGTCATCAATTTCACCTTCCTTTTTCCTTTCTCTTAGCATTGGATGTACTTCAAGCCTTCTTTTTACTACATTTTTACTTTCTTCATCGTTAAGTAGAAGAGCAATTACACATAATTTTTGTCGCGAAAAGCGAGATAATATCTTCACCGAACCAAACTGAAACGTTCTATGTATGAAAATGTGAACGCGCAGTCCGATTGCTGGATTGGAAACGCTACGTTCCGGAAACTATACGTGCATGATAATATGCCGCGACATTTAAGCAAAAATCGCGAACACCACGTGGGCTGTAATAAAATCAGTAGGAAAATCTCATTTCTGTTGCTTGAGTGCAGTGTTGTCATGTTGTGATAAAAATATAAATAGTACGTCGAAACGGCAAATTCTAAATCACAGGACAGAAAAATGTTTTAAAACTCACAAAACAAGAACCAAAAGCAGGACAATTTTTGCTAGATTTGAGCGTGTTGCATAAAAGTGTTGCTGCTATAAGCGGTATGAACGTATGGGATTTTTAAAATCATTTTAATATTTGTTTTAAATTGTAAACAAATAATATATTTGAAAGTCATAACAAAAAAATATTTTCTATTTTGAGGTTCTTATTAACTATAAGAGAATTGCCAAGAAAGTATATGAAATTGATACTTGTGATAAATTTGTCACAAAATCAAAAGTGAAAATGGATCCTTTTGACGAGCGTTGACTTTTAACTTAATCGGAAAATTAGCACCAATTTTTTCGGCCATGAAGGACCCTTTGTCATAGAGTTTACAGAACCTAGAGTACATATTAACGTAAACCTGTATAATCAAACTTTGAATATGGTCCATCAAGCAATAAGACGAAAACGTCCAAGGAAGCTCTCATATGGTGTCATTCTTCTGCACGATAATGCTCTGCCTCATGTTGCTAAAGTAGTAAAAGAAAATCTACAACGAAATAAATGGAGATTAAAGCATCCACTCCACAGTCCCGATTTATGGCCTTGCGATTTTCACATCCTTGTACCACCTAAAAATTATGGACCGGCAACTAAACAGTAGTCGATTGTATAGCTCTTCCTATAGAGGTCAAATTAACAAAACCAACAACTTTTGCGGCGAAGAAGTCTTCATTATCTTTCTTAAAAAAAAAAAAGGAAGATGTTGCAACTTATATAAAAAAACATAGATCTTTTTATTTTTAATGGTTGACCATCTACCATTTGTTTGGTATTCCGGGTTCAACAACTTCTAATGCTTCTTGAAAGATTTCCTCAGAGTATGTTAAACAGCAAGGGTGATAGTATACATCCCTGTCGGACTCCACGTTTGATTTTGATATCGTCGGATTTTACTGCCTCCCAATATTTGTTAATATCTCCATCAGCTTTTCGTATTTTACGGTATCAAATGCTTTATGACAATCAATGAAGCATGCATAAATATAGCAATTCACATCTCTAAATAGTTGAAATAGCACGTGTATGCTAAAGAGAGCCTCTCTCGTACCCACTGCGTTCCGAAAACCAAACTGTACGGCTGATTTTTTCTAGTCTATATTTTTTTCGGCATACTCTATAATAATCCTTTGATGTGTAATTTTTAAAAATAACTTTAAAATGTGGCTCATTAAGCTGATGGTCCGGAAATCATTGCAGGATTTTGTTTTCTTTGGTAGAGCAATAAACGTTGACTTCAGCCATGATCTTGGTATTACTCCGTTTAAGTATTTGTCATTGAATATTTTTATTAGTCGATGAGTACCGTCGGTATTAAAAGCTTTATGAGTTCAACATAAGCATTGTCAGGTCCAGGAGCTTTGGCGTCTTTTAGTTGTGATATTGCCTTTTCCACTTCATCTGATGTGATTGGTAAGTGGTCATAACATATGTAGGATGGAGGTTGTTCGGACCTA